GCCAGTTCACTGAAAAAGAAATTAAATCGACAAATTTCACTGCAGTATCGGCTGTCCTGGTTGCCCTGCACTTTACTTCAAAGGATAATTGCCAACTATGGTCGTCATCTTTTGCTGTACAGAGTTTCCGTAGGTACTAAAATTTACTTAAATGCAGTTCTCTATTGCCTAAAATTGAAAGAGTCAAAAGCTTTAACTGCAAGAACTAACTAAAATGACATGTACCGAGTTGCAACCGAGTAAGGCGGTTGAACTTAGTAAACTAATTTAAATGACTGAACTGGCTATGTTTACTTATTCAAGTAAACTGTACGAAGAAATAAACGTGTGAAAAGACATTGATTGTAGAGTTACCTAATATAAAATGCTGAAAGAGAATTTTGAGAAATGTAAATACCCCACGCAAATGTACGTCTAATGCCAAAGGTAGAATGCTTTGAAAAACGTCGACCTACTGTTCAATATCATTTTGAGTATAAAAGAAATGCAGCAGCAGAGAGTTCTTCGTAAAATAAGCAAAATATACCGGAACAATAGACTGCTATTACTTTCAGGTCCACTGATCAGCTCAAAGTTCGTTCCTATCAGTTTGATATGACAAAAAAACATTGACCAAACTTTGAACATTGTGTGTTTTGCTTCTTTTCCACAATACTTCTGTATCACCTGGTGTATAAATTTTCAACTGCAGCCGTTTACTGCTCTTAAATAAAACTAAAAAAAAAATCACTTTGATATGTCGTTTTGACAGTATTTTATTGTGTTATTTCTTCAAATAAACGTTCCGCTGAAAGTATTTTTTAATTTTGTTCAAAAATTGAGGATGATTTGGTCTCAACGCGATTTACACGCAGAACAGAAGTCGCTGGTAATTTGCCAAACTTCTAACTGAAATTTTCTAATTCATGCGCCATCGTTGTTTATCCGTTTGAAGAAAACAGTGCATTTCTTATCGTACGCGTTTTATTGTTGTAAAACTTTCCTATGCTTTCGTTTCTTTTTTTTATTTTATTGCAAAATGATTCTAGTGAAGTCACTGCTCAGTTCACATTTCTTTCTTGTGTCATTATTTCTGTTACTTCTCTGGAAGAATGTTTAGAACAGTTAGACTTTGTGAAAACCGCTGTACATACTTTCATTTTACTATGACTTTTGGCGGTTTAAGGTTGCATACAGATCCCATGTTTCTAGCTTACAGAGAAATTTGCTCCTCGAATGCAATCTTTTTCAGGCATTAAGTGTCTGTTCAAATAATGCGAATCACAGTAACAGCCGATAGAGCCGGGACGCAAATAATTCCAGTGGAAGTTAATGAACAAATGGAGATGGAAAATTTCATTGCTTTATGTCAGCTTGAACTGCCACAATATGCTAATGTTCCAGTGAACAACTTCCTTATCTCACATAATGGACGTACGTTCGTCATGACTTCGAGTAGTTTGAAAAAGACTTTTAAGGTATTGTCGTTGAAACATTACTTCATTTAGTTCACATCTCATAAGATGTAATTAATAACAGATTGGTTTTTTTTAACTCAGTTCTCATTTGGAAATCAATTGGAAGTTTTAAAAAAATTTTTTTGATTTTGGTGGGTGAACGCTGAAAAGTAATGCATATTAGTTTGTTAATCAATCCTTGCTACAGATTTTTAAGTTCTTGGGTGATTTTATTTTTTTCTGGAAAACATGCACTATTTTTCTAGGACCTAGGAATACATGATAATGACTTAGTTATGGTGTCTACTGTATCGTCTGGGAATCCAAGTAGCTCAGGGAATACTGGCGAAAGTGCTTCTTCTGCGAACGCTAAGTTGATTGCTGATTTAGTTAATTCGATAAAGGTTCCTTCAACATCGTCTGCTAGCCCTTATCCTGGCTTAAAAAAACATGAAGTTGATCAGGTTTGTAGATAGTTTTGAAATTATTGTGCAGCAAATTTGGTTTTCTTATAACACGTAAGCAGTATTCTTGCAACTCTACTATGAAGACAACTCAATTTGTTTGGCATATTTTTTTAATTGGCTTGTCATATTTTTTGAAGCTAGTGTCTCATGAAGAAGATTAAAAGTTTAAAATAAGTCTTAGTAAAAAAGCAAATTTTTCCTTTTTTTTTTTTTTTTTTTTTTTTTTTTTT